TCGAACACCGGAAAACGCGGGGGCAACCACGGAGGTAATGAGCCGGCAAGGGGATATGATCCATCTCTAGCTTTCTCTCTCAGAGTGGCCTTTCGGGTGTCACCTTTCCGACTCATCCGCACACCTCATTCACCAGCCTTTACCTCCTCTGCTGCCCCCCGCAAATCAACCCCACGAAAAATGAGGCATGGCATCTCGGCAGAGAGACTAGCATTGCGCCTTGTGGGGGCTTCATTTGCGCATTTACGATTGTTTTTTGGCACTGCGAAACGTCATGGCTTCGGTCATGTGAGGGAGGGGAAATTCGGGCAGGATCACAAAAAAGTTGGGGGTTGCATTGACATGGGGCATGGGCATTAATGGGCATTTGGTAAAGCGATTTGGGGATGGTTAATCCTGTCTTGGTTTTGCAGCGAAACCCGTTTGGTTCACCCACGCCTTACCCAACGAAAGCACACGGAGGTTTCTACGAGATACTCCGTGTTGCGGGTTTGGAAGGTAGTTCCTGACGGGGGTTTACTGTTGTTGTTTTCATCATCTGTTGTCACAACTCTCTGCTTGGGCAACATTATCATCTCACATGACGGGTTCTTCAAAGGCCATCTGAGCATACATAGAAGGACAAAGCATCTACGGAAATCGGGAATAGCTAGCTAGCATCAAGGGCATCACGGATCTAGTATTCGGGCGCGCATTTCACATACTCCTTTTCAACCCAGAGGAGGTACATGGCGGATACAGTACTCCCCCTCCTCTCAATGGGAACAATATCATATTCTTTCCGAAAATACCAGTTAGCATCAATGTGTAGCCAGCGGGTTATTCGACCGATGAATTGAATCAATCATGTATACTTGACATATCGCAACTGTGTGAGAAATCGCGTCGAGCTGACTGTCAATCGATCGGCACCGCCGAGTTCAATGACGGAAAGCCGAGGTGAATAGGATGGGACACCTCGGAGATGGGGGAAGAATGAGCAAGGTAAGGACCCCAATCGTCCGATCCACAGACGCCAGACCTCTTTGGACCTCACGATATGCAATGTTGCTCCCCCAGACGTAGCATGTCGATCACTGGTTCTTTTTTGACTGTATGGTGCGGTCTTCCCCGGATCGTGAAGTGGACGGGCGGGGCCTGGCGATGTGCGACACTGACTCGAGGAGTCGGGAGTCGGGGAGTTTGCCAGCGTATCACTCTATCAGTACAGGTGAAGCGGGCGAGTTAGGGACAGACAGGAAAGAGAGACGCGCTCGACGCGAGACTTGGGAGGTGTGACGACAGAGGGATCGGATTCCCGCGGATGGACAAGTCTGGGAATGCCGTGATAAGAGGATCGACTTGTGTGATTGGGGAGATGTTCTGTCTCTTGCCTGCCTTGCCTTGCCTCGCCTTGCCTTGCTTCCTTCTCCCCCGCGGGGGGTCAGTTTGGGCGGCTTTCGGCAGGCAGAGTGCAGACTGAGGTACCTGCTCAATGCTGTTTGGCTGTGCAGGTCACGGATAATGATATACAGGATGTTGGGTTACAGCAGGATCTCGATAGTAAATGGCACACCATGGACAGACGGCCAATGGGATATGTGTGTACATTGATTTGAGGTTCCAGACCATCATTGTCAAGGGAGGACGATCTTGCTGTGCCGCTTCGCTTGTGGTTTTCTTTCGCTGACTTGAGTCTAGACCTTTTTTTTCGAGGTCGGGTTTATGGTTTACGGGTGCAAGTGAAGGATTCTGTTGATTACTGTGTGTTACACAAGCGCTTGGGGATGTCAAGCGAGTGAGAGCGAAGGAGTAGATGACTTTGTCAGCAATTGATCCCTGGGTTCGATTTTGTCCGTCCAGTAATAGTGCGGCCGTTCAAGTTCACTGGTCTTTTCAAGGTATTCATATTCCCTTCTTACCATCCTCCTGGATAAGACCGTTGAATTAAGTCCCATTCCGTGTCATTTTCGCGTTCCAGGCTTTTGTTTTCCCGGCGGGCGCGGGAGAATTACGGCAGTGGGCTAGCGGCTGATTGAATATGCGCTGAGTGGGGGTGTTTCTTCATCTTGGGTTTTGGTCTCCATGGATCGTGACATTCCGGCAGGGCGCCAGCATCACTTCGGTTCGAATGGGGCCGAGGCTAGTGATGCTTGGTTGAGGCCGGGGCATTTGATGACGTTGGCGGGGATTGTGTACGTGCCGGCGTGGGCGGGCAGGTATATTCTCGGCAGTGGGAGTTCTTGGGGTTCTAGGGGGTTCTATCACAGAGACATCACATTTTTGGAGTGGCTGTCTTGTTCACGATATTTGGTTTGATGATGGATCAAAGTGAGGCTGTTGTTCTCTTCCGAGTCATGTGCTTAGGCTCGTGATGGGGGGGACTTTGTCTTGTGAGACGGTGGTGATGGAAAGGTGTGAATGGGTATCGTAATGGAGGTTGAATGGGTGAGCGATGACGGATGGTCTGGGAACGAGTCGAGGTCTCGTGATAGAGGCCGATGATGTCGGAGCTTTGAAGGAGGTGGGGGGGAGTAAGGTAAGGTAGCTAGGCCACCGTCTTGACCCGGAGAGATATGCGACGACGACGATGACGAACCAATGGGTAGGCGACGATGGTCCCAAGTGATCGGAGCGAAAGGGCGAGGGACCAAAGCAAGGGCGGTGAGCTTAACGCAGGTTCCAGTATTCCGTACGCTGTGAAATGATGTGTGTGAGACTATGTGTGTGTGTGTGTGTGTGTGTGTGAGTGTGTGTGATGCCGGATTCCGGGACTAGTATCACGCAAGTCAGGCACGTAATGTAGGTACGGTGCGGCGGAATGCTCCAAGGTGGGAACACTTTTTTTCATCTTCTTCTCCATTGAGGTGAGGTGAGAGAAGGTGTGTGTAGGTGTACGTAGGTATGAGTGGGTGAAAGGAGTGTGATGAGTGAGTGAGTGAGTGAGTGGTCTTGGTTCGGGGCTGGGGCTGGGCAAAGGTGAGCATGATCGGGTTAGGATACGGGGTGTTCGAGGCGAACCTGACCGATGAGTGGTGGTGGTGGTGATTATGCGGCGGCTGAAGCGCACTTGACGCCGCGGCCGCGTGAGCGATGATGGTAGCGCGTATTCCGTAGAGGGGGGTCTTGTGCTAGTGTGATGAGATGGATTAGATTGTGCGTGATTGTGTGAGATGACGTGAGGCGCGGGGCACTTTGAGTCGTGTTTGTGAAGTGCGTTCCATTGTGTTCCTGCTTAGGCACCCAAGTAAGTCAGGCGAGTAAAGTACCTACCTCTCAGGTTATCTGGCTGGGTGTTGTTCGGGCAGATTTGCCCAGTCATCACGATGTTCTTAGTGGATGGGCTAAGGTGCAAGTGGTGGTTTTCCCTTGGTGCTGTGTAAGTAGATAAGATTACTTTAGTAGGTTCTCTCGGTGATAGGTGGGATAGGAAAGGACTGGCGTGGTTGGTCTATGTCTGTAACTAGCTGCGGGATGTTATAGATGCGAGATAGGGTAGTCTCGGTTTATCGTATAGTACGACGCGACTGTACCGGCATTCCTATACCATAAGGTAGGTGGGTAGGTAGACTTATTGGAGGGGCTGGAAAAGCGGAAAGGCAACTCGAGCAAATGATACCGGCGATTTGAAATACGTGTCGCAAGGTGTTGCCATTCGGGAGGGGGGAACAATAGAACCAACTCTCGGGATGTGATAGGCCTGTCGGGGTATGATTACAGAGTCTCATTTCGGGATCTGGTCCTCGACGATACCACCATGTTATGGCCTGCCTGCCATGCACTTGCGGCACACTCGCCTGACTCTTTCGGCCGGCTCTGCAGGTTTGCCGCGATTTTTGGAAGGTGTTGCTTCTCCCTGGGCGAGGGGGGAAGATTCGGCCGGGTGTGGGAAAAAAAGGACAAATGTCGGCGATGCCGGTGTTGTTCGGAGTGGAGTCCGGGTCCCCGGTCTTTCTCTCTTCCTCTCTCGGCGGTCCGGGGGGGATGGAGGGTGGGGGTCGTTTTCCTCTCTCCTCTCCCACGAGTCTGGGTGTGACCATCCGATGCTGGAGACTGACTCTCATCCTTGTTCGAGCGCTACCACCTATCGCGATGAAATATCGGGAAGGTTATATTGACGGCGGTGTTATCGTCGCTGATTCTATGGAATGGGGGTTTGGACTTTTCCCATCCAGCGCTCTTTCCGAGAAGGGTCAATGTCGTGCATGAGTGCATGGTGGCTTTCTAGGTGGACCGATGATCGCTCTGCTTCTTTCTGAATCATGTTTTTGGGGGCGAGAGAAGGGCCATTGACGCCGATCGTCGAGACAGAGGCTCCATGGGAGAGAGACTGTAAGGGTAGCATCGGAGTAAACTCCGACTTTTTCGTCTGCCCGCTCTTCGCAGATGCCCGATGCCGTCATGGGGTTGAAGCAGAGATCCTCATGACTCTGCGGCTGTCTCTTAGTCTCGAGTCAGCGATGGCGTGTTGCTGGTTTGCACGCGGCCAGAAGTTTCCGCGGTACGGTATAGTCGTTCATCTTTGCGATCTTGCTTCTCCGATGCGATGTATTAGGAAGCAGCTGAGTACCGGTCGATGAGCTTGCAATGACTCGCTCGGCTTGCGCTTCGTTTCTTCGAATCAATTCATTATACACTTCTACGCTTCTTGTACTCAATGCAGATGGTCAATGGCTGGTCATACTCGCAAAGCTCATGATGGATACGATAACTCTCCAAATAGTGTCCAGCAGGTGAATACGCCCGAAGTAGTTCGAAGTGACATCCTTGAACTTCTGCGCTCACTTCCAGACCATGGAAAAGAGATATAGAAAGGATGAACGTTATAAGCATCTCCTGTGACGCGATGGCCCATGGATTTCTGTGGCTGCTTCTCGCAGCATGAATTTCCGGAACCACTTAGACGGGTCAGGTCTAGAATTCACAACGAATTCCAACAGTCATTCATTAAGAATACTGTTATTTATCTCATGGACTATGATGGTGCCTAACGCGTTATTGATTTTGACGAATGCTTTGGCTCATCTCTCTGGTGTTGATGGGGTGAGTTGCGTCTGTGTGCGTATAGGGTTGCTGGACGAAACCAATTCCGGACCCGATGTAGAGTTGGCCATTTTGATCTTGACGTATCTAGCATGCATCGAAATATCTTCCGCCCCCCTGAGCTGTTCCCTCGTCTCTGTATCCAGTCCATGAGCCAATCCCGCCAGTGAGCTTCCCTTCCAGGCTGGGAGTCGTAGCCTCCTCGTCTCGAGTATTGAGAACAGACAAAAAAGACAACCGACGAGGAGCGCACCATAGGGAAGCGACATGAAACCCCATCTAACGCGTATGTGAACCACTGACTCCTTTGTCGTTCCCACGTGAGGATCTGTCAGAAGCGAGACATCTCGCATCCACTTGGTCAAACCGAGAGCTGCCATCTCGAAAGTGGCTGTCAGATTCTGCGATTTTCCAAGGGTAGTGATTACTGAGGGCTGTTCGGGCTCGAGCGTCTCAAAGGTCGGATAGATGAGCTGCTTCGAGGCTAAGTCCCCGGAGCGCCTGGCAAACTTCCTCACAAACGCACCCGGCAGGGTTGTGGCGGCGGCCTGACTTATGTTGAATCGCAAGCTGTTGTTTCCTATCAACGCAACAATATCATCGTCAGGCGGTATAGTAAGCTGTAAATCCGTTCTCTCGAAGCCCACAGAATAGTAAAGGGTGTAATTCGTCATCTCGTTATACACTTTGACCTTCTCGTCCTCAATTACTTCCCCAACTGGTGAGGATAGGAATGAGTTGAGATTCCGAATGGTATAGGAGCCAATTAGATCTTCTTTCAGAATACCCTTTGTAACGGTCGAGCGGTAGATGTTTGTGCAGAAAGACAAGGCGCATTCTAGAGCAGTCGCCCCGCCTACTGTCTTATTACCTGTCTTAGTCGTATCTCTTTTCATCATGGCGAAAGAGGCGATCAAAGTCTTCGAGTCTTGGAATGACAGCGTGCTTCCGGGCTGCGTTGTGACCTGAGCCGTAAACTCGACCTGTTGTCCAAAATCACTATCAAAGTTGGAAATGTTCAAATTCATCGTCGGTAACTGGAACTTGGTATAGGCACGCCTGTCGTCGTCCTTATACACTGCATAAGTAATCGACCAAGGGACAGTAAGAAGAACTTTGTCTGTTGGGTGGGCGTACCCCGTCGATTTCTTCAAGTTACTTGATATGTCGTTGCAAGCGCTGCAAACTGCCAACGAAGCATGAGGAGGCCAAGTGCAATTTCCCGTGGCGCAAGTGAAGGAAGGTTGCTGAGTACTATAAGAGTTGAGATCGTTAAATGCTGTCCAGATGGCCGAGAGCGAGCCATAATCATATTCATCGAACATGCTTTGAAAAGGTATGGAACCCCAGGGCTCCGGCATTGTCTCGAGTCCGATGGCAGAATCTCCTCTGAATGTCGCTTTGCCAAAATCGAGTCTCTGTGTCCGACCGATGGATGCAATAATGCCTAGATTTGACGACTCAACCTCTTTCTCATAAAGTTCGACGACCGCCTGAAGGAATGACTCGAATCCGAGCAAGACGACGGCAGCCAACGCGCCAAGAGAAACCCAGTGTCTGCGTATGGAAATTAGCCAGGTGTATCGCACCGTGGAAGGGGGCTCGTTTACCTGTGTTTCATATGCCACAAGAGACGGGCGCTTCCTAGAGGACCGCGTCCTGCTTCCTCAAAGCGATCGTAATTTGTAATGTAATCGTGCTTGCGCCTGAACCAGTTCCATTTGCCCTGACTCAAGCAGCCACCAATGGCGAAGGCAAGGGAAGCTCTAGATACTGTGCCTAAGACGGAAATGATTGTATTGAAGGTGAAGAAAGAATGTCATGTTGCTTGTGGCTTTCCATCGTAGACCGATAGCAGGACAGTGACTGTGATCAAGGCTGCGATGCTGACAACGACGGCCAGTATCTCCCATGTCCAGCTGTAACTATTTTCGTTAATCTTGATAGTATCGATTTTGGCCAAGGCCGAGGTGAGACTAGTAGTCTCGGTTGCAGAGTCGTCGACAGCCTTGGAGTTTGAATTCGAGGTTGGAGTTTTGGACTGACGAGGAGGTTCACTGTCTATAGTCGCTGCATATCTCGGCAGCGTCAGCGAAGTGTTTGAGACGCCTTTGAGGGGCTTCCGAGGTATGTTCATGATGGTTCTTGGTTAGACCAGAGGTAGAGAGGTTCGATGATAGCTGAATGAAAGCCCCGTATTGTTGTGGGGATCAAAGTCAAGAAGTATATCATCAGCATGATGGTGCATTTGTGGTTGCACAATAGCAACAGCCTGTTTACTACGCCTCCATGATTCCTTCAAGAACCGTGGATGGTTTCGTAACTTCGTGTCATTGGTAGCCTGATCTCTCCATCCATCTCCAGCGTGTAGAACTGAATCCCAAGAGGTTGCAAGCTGCATATGGCAGGTTTCGATTGGGTGCTGTTGATGACTGCATGTGGCAAAGCGCCGACACGACTGGCTCGGCCGGTATACTTGGTTTAGGATTCAGCAGCTGAACGCACCTGAATGCAACAATCTCCAAGCCCAGCAAGATGATGACAGATGTGCACATCTAGGAGCTACAGGAGAGAAGTACTCAACGGCTGGTCTGCCCGACGCCATGTTGTTTGCTCTCCATCCTATCAGCAAAGGCACTGCGCCGGACTGAAGCGGAGTACTACGTGAAGGTACATTTGAAAGGCAGGCGGTCTGCCGATAGACTGCATGGCTCAAGGCACGTCTCTGGAATTCAAACAATTTTGCCTGTATGTGCACTTTCCGACTAGAAGAAGGAACACACAGATCAAGTCCAAAAAATGCAAAAGTTTCAGATACTGTGACCGCGGCAGGGTTCGAACCTGCGACCTCCTCGGAGTTCAAGTGTTCACATTGTGAACGAGGAATCATAACCACTAGAACACACAGCCGGATTTGTTGAAGATTGCCGCCGGGTGAGAACTCTAGTATCGCTAGTGTCGCCTCTGCAGCGAAATCCAGTTGGTCCAGATACAGAGGGCTTCGCGTAACATCGAAAAGATCTCGGAAAAGCTGTCATCGTCGTAAAAGTCTGACGCTCTGTTTCAGTTTCAGAAAAGGAATGGTTTTCTGTTCTTCCTGTATTACCTCTAAGGCTTGAGTTTGGGATTGAATTTGGGCTAAGACGGGACTGAAGTATCGGCTTAACATATCCTGTGGACGTTCATGCGAATTTTCCCTCGCCGATCAAGGAAATGACATTGTAATGAGATGTAAATTGCAAGTCCGGTTTCAAGAAACAGGCGATCGAATGGGCCATTTCAATTGACTGGATTCAAGTTGTATCAACTAGACTGAAACCTCACAACAAGAGAACGGCAGTTAGCCTTGCACCGACATCGCAACCCCACCATCCACACAAAATTGAACAGGAGGGGTCAAGCAGTGACGCAGCCGTGGAACTCGAGTTGATAGAACTTCTTCAAACCACCAGAGTATACACCAACACACATACAAAAATGACACGCTTTCGCCCCTGTATAGACCTGCACGCCGGCCAGGTGAAGCAGATCGTCGGCGGCACCCTCGACAGCACAACAGCCGAGCTCAAGACCAACTTTGTCTCGACACACCCGCCGGCGCACTTTGCGCGGCTGTACAAAGACAATGAGCTCACGGGCGCCCATGTCATCATGCTGGGGCCCGGCAACACCGAGGCCGCGCGGGAGTCGCTAAAGGCGTGGCCCGGCGGGTTGCAGGTCGGAGGAGGCATCAACGACACGAACGCAAAGGAGTGGGTTGACGCCGGCGCGGAGAAGGTCATCATCACGTCCTACCTCTTTCCCGAGGGACGGTTCAGTCAGGAGAGGCTGGATGCGGTGCTGCAGGCGTTGGGAGGCGATAGGGACAAGCTTGTCATTGACCTAAGCTGCCGCCGGCGCGGAGATGACAGGTGGTTTGTGGCCATGAACAAGTGGCAGACGATCACAGACATGGAGGTCAATCAAGGTATGTTTCTAGCGGCACAGTTTGATAGACACGAAGTGCGTGGATGTCACATGGCTGGCTGACTGACTGTGTGTTGCAGAATCCATCAAGCAGCTGGAGCCCTATTGTTCAGAGTTCCTCATCCACGCAGCAGACAACGAGGGTCTGCAAAAGGGCATCGACGAGAAGCTGGTGGAGAGACTGGCCGAGTGGTGCAGTCTGCCCGTGACGTACGCCGGCGGCGGCAGGAACCTGGAGGATCTGGAGATGGTGAAGAAGCTGAGCAAGGGCAAGGTGGACCTGACGATTGGTAGCGCGCTGGACTGTTTCGGCGGCAACGGGGTCAAGTTGGAGGAGTGTGTTGAGTGGAATAAATCTCAGTAATCGTCGAAGAAAAAAAAAAAAGTCGAATGCCCACAATCAACAACCAAACCAACACTTGTTCCTGGATGACAGGCGTCACATCCGACGCGGCGGCCGTGCAACTTAGCTGGAGGCGAGCGGCGATGTTGTTTCAGCCAGTGCGACGAAGCAACGGTGGGCAGATGCGCTAGAAGAAGCGAGTACAAAGAAACAAAACACGCATAATGGGCTCATGGAGCTGGTGTAAAACGCACGAAGTCGGCGCAGACAGGCACTAGTCCCAACGTCTCCTCTTTCCTCTCTAGTTTTGCAGGTACGAATAGGTAGGTTTTCCTCGCTCTCGCGTGCCGATGGGACCCGGGGGGCGCGGCTTTTCTTGCGAGATAAACTTACGTACATATGTACGTACATTGCATCGAATCGTACATGATGAAGAGATGCCCTGCGTGCCCTGCACGATGGTGTGCATCGGACCGGAAAGTCTGTTGTTGTTTGGCCCCTCTTTCGTCTGTCGCTCCTCCTCACCGTGGCTCCTCTCTTGGGGCTGAAGAGGAGGGAGGGGCTAGGATATTGCGCAGTGTTTGGGGGCCAGCAGGTGCTCCTGGCTCTTGTGGACTCGATCGGACGATGAGGAGGAGGAAGGAGGAGGAGGAGAAGCCTGGAGGGGGAGGATACGTGGATCACACTTGACAGGCAGGACCACCAGGAAGTCAATTGCGCTGCACGATGGGACGGCATTCTCGCAAAAAATGGCTTTGCGCCGGCGGGGGCGGGGACAAGACGGTGCAGCTCTTAGGAGCAAAGTCCGGGCGCGGCGGACGATCTTTCTCGTTTTTTTATACACGCACACATGCAAAGTACTTGTAGACTCGAGGAATTAGATACGAATCAAGACAGACGAATCAGCAATCGAGAGAGGAGCACACATCAAAACAACAATAACAATGGGGAGAAAAAAACCATGGCCAGATGCATGGACAAGCAATGGCAGCCAAAAAAGCCGAGTACAGGCCGCAAGCTCGATAACAACAACAGCTTTCTGTCTCTTCTCTTCCGTCGGTTGTGTTGGTAACCCAGAGTGACATTGGATGACGAGAAATCATAACACAGCCCACCCCTGGCGAGCACGGGCAGAGGGGGAACGTCTAAAGCAACAACGAGCTCCATATCGATATCCAGCCGACGGGCTAAAATGCTCAGAGCCCACTCAACCCACCATCTGATGGGATTGTGCGATGCGAAGTGATGGAGAGAAGCACGACATGCGGGAACCAAGCGTGGGCTTCCCAGGTCTAGGTCAAGGGCAAGGTCTCGACTTCTCTGACGTTTGGTACGGAGTATTGGGTAAGTAAGCCATCACGATGACTTGACCATGGACTGCAACAGCTGCCAGAACCCATGTCCTCAGCTGCTGTTGGCCCGGAGAATTATCATGGTTCAACAACAACATTGACGAGGGGGAAGCCGGACAAGCATGAGATGGAGAGTAAGCCTGATGGTTTCGGGCAATAAGCAGCACACACTACTACTCCGTACATGCAGTACTGTACAGTCCTTGCGCACACAGAAACGAAAATCAAGTTGTTGTTGATGAATATTATTCTCCTCTCTTCTTTTATCCTTCCTTTTCTTGCTCGTGGCTCCCCTCTTTCGCCTCGGATACTTGCTTTTCTAGCTTGCCTTTAGTCTCTCTCCCTGCAGACGCCGTAGTAGTGGCTGACGATCAAGACTGGAAAGATAATTCTAGAGTAGGCATCTTGTTCCCTAGGTATCCGTAGTCCACAGTAACTCGTCGTCTTCGGCATCAAAGGCATAGACCATGAACAGCCATTGGCTATTGCTCGCTTGAATACATCTTGAGATTGCATCGTAAACCGCTGAGCAGTGTCACAGAAAGAGTGGGCACGTGCAGCAGACACCCGCCCAAAGCCACCCCGGTCGTCGGCCGTTCCCCTCTCCCCAGTGGTCTATTTTCCCATTTCTTGCCATGCTGGATGCTGGATGCTGGCTGGATTGGTGGATGGAGTGGATGGCTGGCTGGATGCTGGGCTTCGAAAAGCCTGCCGCCGCCTGCGGCTTGCCAACAACCCCTCGTCCTAACTCTCCCGTCAAAGGTACGTACCCGGTCTTTTATCGACCCCTGTCACGCCAAAAATCACACTAAACACAAGGTCGCCAGGAGCAACGCCACCGACAAAGAGCTGCCTTCCTTGTTTGTTTACTTCTTCCCCTCCGCGCACCAATCATCGAGTCCCCGCCTCAACGTCAACTCATACCGCCCGCTGCCCTTAAACAACACTCGACCACATCGACGCATCACAACACAACGTCCCGTTCACCCTCTTGTTGTTTCTCACCACAACCGCCGTCAGGAACGCTATCCCATTACCTGTTGCTGCACTTTGGCGGCATCGCCCTTTTTTGATTTTTTTTTGTGTGTGTTGCTGTCGTTTTGCGCTGTTCCCTCCCCCCTTCAGCTTCATCACCCAGCATCCCCATACTTCGGCTCTGCCCATTCCAGTCATCAACAACCCATACCGAATTACCCTTCGATTATGACCCGAATCGGCATCTGACAGCACACATCCCCGAGAGCCACCCAAGGAGAGAAAAGTCAAACATTCATTCTAGCAGACAAAAGTCTTTCTACCGCATTTTCCCCTTTGTGTATCTTTGCGAATCCGCTCTGAACCTCGCGGCAATCACCCCGGAACGCACCGCAGCAGAGTCTGCTTAACATCGGATTTTCTTTCGAGTTTTGATCGCCATTACCACCACGTACTGCGATTGTTCCCCCCCAAATGCGCTTGCGCAGTCACAACAATATCACACAAAATGGCGTCTTCTGAGGATCCCGTAAGTTCTGACATACGCCACTGCTATGATATCGCGTTGCCCGCGAGCGACTGACTCTCACTTTTCCAACAGGTACATCCTTTGCGCATTAGCAAAGGCAGCAGCACTCCGGGATCTCCCCCTCCTACCAAGGCCAGCACTGGCATACCTCGCCCCCTTTCCGAGCTCTCTCCTTCAGACCTCAGGCGGAACTCACCGAGCTTCAAGCAGCCCTCCAAGGTAAGCAGACCGTGTCTGAGACACAATCCCCGTCTAGAATTGCCACTAACAGCTGTCGTATAGAAAATGACCCTCAACACCGACTCCTCTCCATTCCAGTCGTCCCCACTAGAGACTACTACGTCTCCCAGACTGTTTTGGCAGAAGCGCAACCTGGACTCCATCAGCACTGAGAACAGCGGATTATACGGCGGCGCACGTCACGGCTCGCCTTCGCCAACCCGACGCACTTCCATCGAACGTCTCCAAAGAGCCTCTCGAGTCAAGAACAGCAACATTCTCGCTCTCGAGCAGAAGCAGGAATACGATCCCACAAGAGTCCCCCAAATTGAGCGTCCTCTCGCTAAGCATTCCGGACCCTCATATGACGGAACGACAACAATCATCAATGGCCTACGATCTTCTGATTCTCTGAACAGAGGCATCGGCCACCAGCGCAACAACAGCAGCAGGTCGAGCATCCCCATCTTCAGCCCGACAACGAGCCCTACCAAGGGTTCTACACCAATGCAAATTAACCCTGCGAACCCGCCGCGCAGCCCGGGCAAGGACCAAGGGTCCCCTATCAAGTCTTCCCTTTCGAGAAGCAACTTCAAGAGCAGCTTCGACCCCGAGACTGGCACCTGGTCGGCCGACACTTCTTTTGACGATCGCGAGCTTCCTTCTGGAAAGTCGCTTCATCGCCACGCCAAGAGCGTCACCTTTGACGCGGCTCCACCTCAAATCAACGAATATGAGATGGCCACGCCGGACATTTCTTCCATAGGATCCAACTCGCGCGAGGGCAGCTTCGACTCCATGGATGACGAGGACGACGAGGACGGACACTACCACTTTGGAGATCACGATATGGAGGGTGACAGCTTCGATGCGTCGCTAGAGGATACAGACAAGACTCCCGTCGTCGGTCCTGACGATTGGAGACAGTCTGCTGAGCGTATGGAGGATCCCTTCGATGGAAGCCCCATGCCAGATGCACTTCCACCTCGTATCGGCCGCACAGAACACACTCGATCTGACTCGTCAACTTCGGATCACCGCCCCCTGCCTCCTCTTCCCGGCATGGGCTCACCCGCCCGTGGTTCGCCCGCCTTCAGTGACTCCCGATCTTCTCCTGGCCTGTCCGCGACAGCAGAGAGAATGGTGGGCGCCCACCGTAGCTTGCCACCGCCCCCCCCGGCAGCTGCCAGCAAGAACGAGATCCAGAGCATCGGCAACGGCAAGATGACTCTCGAAGAGAGACTGAAGCTTATGATGCTCTCAGACGACCACAAGTCTGCCAACGAGCAGCAGAGAGAGCGTCGCCTTCGTCGCGGTGCTCAGCGCGATAGAATCCAGAGCCCCGCTTCCGACACTGAGACAGCCGAGTCCAGCATGCTTTCCGCTGATGCAGATGAGGCTGATGATACCATTGGAGATATATCTGCCCTCGAGGACTACGAGTTGCCTAGCCGTATCTCCCGTGAGTCCATCATGCGTCGCGTCAATGGTGGCGCCAATGACCAAGGAGGTGACTACTTCTCCTCGCCTGCGCCTAGCTCCAGCCCCGAGCGACCCAGCCCTGAGCGTCGTCTGCCCCTGCCCCTTGACCCGGATGTCCCAATTCCTTCAACTGAAGACTCCATCCTGGATGACATCTCCGAGCTTAGCGACGAGGGTAGTGTCATTATCCACAGAGATGAGGCCTCTGATGTCGACACCGAGTCAATCACAGACTTCTACGCGCGGTCTGACATTGACGAGAACGATGCCGATTCTGCTAGCCATTACTCTGACGGACCGGCTCGCCAGCCCGAGGTCACTCAGGTCGACGAGGACATCCTCACACCTCGTGCTGCTAGCCCCTTCCAGACATTTGACTTGGCCTCAGAGATAAGACCCCTGGAGCTCAAGTCCGACAAGGGTTTCAGCTCGCCCGAGCAACGCGCTGTCTCTCCGGCTGACCCCCCAGTCAGGGAGCTGACACCCGAGACAAACGTTGAAGAGGATATCGAGCCTACAAGCGAGCCTCAGGATGAGGTTGTTGAACAGCCTCAGCCCGAACCCGAGGTCGAGAAGGAGCCGTCGCCAGAGATGACAGTCGATGCACCTGTCGACACTGCCTCTGATCGCAAGCACAGCCTCCCCGAATTCCACGACGAGGGCAGGGACAACGAGTTCTCCAAGGGCTTGCAGTCGTTCATGCTTCCTCCGCCTCCGGAGCCTTCTGCCGAGGAAGTCGAGGAGCTTCAGCCCCCGCCAAAGATGACGGAGCTTCAGGCTGAAATGCAGCGCCCCGTGACCCCGAAGCATCTCTCCAAGCCTGATTACGACGGCTCCGGCTGGGGTGATCCAGAGGATGAAGAGTATGAGGAGGAGCCTGGTACGCCCGAGTCTGTCATTCATCGACCCATGTCCGATTCTGAATCAGAAATCTTCGACGAGCTGCCCATGGAATCTCCTGCTATTCCGGAGAGGCAGGCGACAATCAAGGCATCTGGATCGAAGTTGAAGACCAGACCTTCCAACACACCCTCTGACATCATTGCCATGAGGGAAGCCCGGCGCCAAGTTAGTCGCGAGGTGCCCGACATTCCAGCCATTCCTGAACGCCACCGCAACAGGCTGTCAAGGGATCTGCAGGGAGAGCCAACTATCCACGACGACGAAGAATTCGTGGACCGCCGCTCGAGCTTCAAGAAGCGCAGTCTCACATTGGATCTTGACTTTGGCCTCAGCCTTGACCAAGATTTCGATCGTGTCATTGAACAACAAAAGGTTGCTTTTTCTCAACTAGTCCCCAAATCTCGCATCGCAAGTGGCAGCACCAGCAGACAAGTGTCCAAGCCGACCGCGACCATGAATAAAATCATTTCACCAGACAGGAAAGAGTCACAGAATGCTAACCAGAAGAACCAGCGCGGATACCTCATGCGCCAGAACACCAAAGTTGTTACAGCGAGCGACAAAGAGTCTTCTGACATGTGGAAGACTCGATCTGCTGGCAACTCCCCCGTTAAGACAGACCGCCCTCAGTCATGGACCGTCGAGCCCTGGAACGGTAGGCCCAGACAGAAGAGCATCAGACGCCGCGCCAACACAAGTGGTCCTGTGCCGCCTATGCCTGGCCAGGAGAGCAATGCTCAAACTCTTAACCCCCTGGCTGAAGAGGACTTGAACCCGGAGCTTGCGACCGAGGAAAGCGGCGAACGTGGCCGCCTCTTCGTCAAGGTTCTTGGAGTCAAGGATCTCGACCTGCCCATTCCCCGAAGTATGTTCCACCCTCCCAAGCCTCATCTCCAGATTACTGACAATTGTTTAGCTGAGCGTACCTGGTTCAGCCTGACGCTTGACAATGGTGTCCATTGTGTCACAACCGCCTGGCTTGAGCTTGCTCGCAACGCTCCCGTCGGCCAGGAGTTTGAACTTGTGGTTCCCAACGACCTGGAGTTCCAGCTGACCCTCAACGTGAAGCTGGAGAAGCCCGCGCCTGCCAAGAAGGCGATCGTGCAGTCTCCTACTAAGGCTAGCAAGCCCAAGACGTCTACCTTTAGCAGGGTGTTCGCGTCTCCCAAGAAGCGGAAGGAGATGGAGTTGCGCCAGCGCGAAGAGGAGGAGCGTGTAGCCGCCGAGCAGCAAAAGGCTGCTCAGGCCAGACAGATGAAGGTCGCGCCTACCGCCTGGGACTTGTTGTCTCCACTCGCGGCTGAGGATGGTAGCTTTGCTCGTTCGTACGTGTGCCTCAAAGAGCACGAGTCGCGCTGTTACGGTCGCCCCTATGTCGTTGACGTGGCTTGCTTCAACGAGTGGGCGACTGAAGAGGCTACCTTCGCCTCCAGCGTCAAGAGCAAGCGTGGTAATACTGCTGTTGTCCGCCGCGCCCCCTACAAGATTGGAAAGTTGGAGCTACAGTTGCTCTTTGTGCCCCGTCCCAAGGGATCCACCGAGGAGGACATGCCCAAGAGCATGAACTCTTGTATCCGAGAGCTTAAGGCTGCGGAGGAGCGCCTTGCTAAGAACTGGGAAGGTCACCTGAGCCAACAGGGTGGCGACTGCCCTGTAAGTCTCGTGTCATATCCGATTCATACCGAATACGTGCTAATCTCATCAAAGTACTGGCGTCGACGATACTTCAAGCTTGTTGGCCAGAAGCTCACGGCCTACCACGAGGCTACCCGTCAACCCCGAGCTACTATCAACCTGGCTAATGCCAAGAGGCTGATTGACGACCGGCGTGCCCTGACGGAGCGAGAGACGACCGGCAAGGGCGGCAGACGTCGGCGATCAGCCTTCGCCGAGGAAGAAGAAGGATACATGTTTGTCGAGGAGGGTTTCCGCATCCGCTTCAACAACGGCGAGACCATTGACTTCTACGCCGACACAGCCGAGGACAAGCAGGGCTGGCTGTTGGCTCTGACGGACCTCATTGGTACCGGTCGCGGCGACAGCGAGGACGATGTTGGTGGTTCTCGCAAGCAGGGCAAGTGGTGCGAGCTCATCCTCAAGAGAGAGGAGGCGCTGCGACGGCGGCAAGAGGGCCGACGGGTGCACTCGCGTACGAAGAGCACATTCAACTAATACCCCTTCTTTTCTTGATGATTTGGCATGATCGGCACGGGTAGGGGACACGAAGTAATGGGGAGGCACGGCATGATCTATGATTCTCTTGGACCTGGAGTTCGTGATCGGATCATCATGTTGTCTTTGGTCCGCTGTTGCGATGACTTGTGTCTTGTGGACTGCGCGCTTGCCTGAATATCTAATAATTTGGCAGACAGGATGGCGTTTGGGCATGGTTTGGATGGCGATGGCGATGGAGGAAATTCCGGAGATTGAGAGCTTGTTGTTTTAAATTCGCACTCGGCTTCTTTTGAGCATTGTTCTAGGAGTCGGGTAGCCCGTTTGGTTGTACGTATCATGTTGTACTAAAATGGGAGGTTTTTATCGTTAAATTATTTGGCATTGCATTTTCGTGCAGTGATATCTGTTGCCTCGTCTACTTGGGTCATAATCCGAGGGCAATTGAGTTCACCCTAGGTCCTGGTAAGTTCGTAGTCACCTAGGTGAGGAGCGCATGCATCACGTGCGTGGTGATGTGCATAAAGTTGCTGGACCCTTGCTCCATTGATGTTCTCGTCAGTGAAGGGAAGCCACGGGGGCGCAGCTGGCCGGGGGAGTTTCACCAAGGTATCCATCCGTACCGAAGGTAATGTGCAGCGGCACGAATTGCAGGTGGGTACGTACCCATCCAGAGCAATGGATTGCTGCTCGCTACCTGAATTGCAGTGGGCTGGCAGCAGTAGCAGGCGGGCGGCAGCACCCACTTCGTCTTCCCGTTAGTTCGTTATTTTGGAAGGGCCCGCCAGCAACAGCTCCCAGCTATCTTATTACACCGAATCCTCCCCTTTTGGATCACCAAGAGATCGCAGGTTACGTCGCTTTTCCCTACACAGCATTGCATATCGTCTGCCTCTTTCTTTACCGACCCCTTCCCCTCCTCCCTCCCGCCACCCGGGTCTTCCAAAACATAAATCATCCTCAATGGCGGGCCGCTTTGTGCGAGCGTCGAAATATCGTGGGTCTTTTTTTGTTTAAACTGTCGCATGCCACCGTGTTGCGCTGGGACGAGCTGACTACTGACGCCCGATTTCCTCTCGTCTAGGACACGTCTTTGGCAAGCCGACCCGGAAGGAGTTCTGCTACGATAATCTTCACATCAGCCGAAATGCCTGGGATACCAACTTGGTGAAGGTAAGTAAGGGGTTCGCTCCTTTGCTTCTTTTGCCCTCCTGCCGAGACAATTGATGGGGGGGCAAGACCGGGGTCGATAGGAGAACACAAGAGAAAGAGGCTGACCAGAAACTCGCAACCTTTAGGCCAACCCCGACTACCTCTCCGTCAATTGGGATGCCGGCGGTGGCGGCGCTTTCGCTGTCATCCCCCTTGGCGAGAAGGGAAAGGTGCCCGACCAGATCCCGCTGTTTCGAGGCCATACCGCCACCGTCTTGGATACCGACTGGTACGCCGATCCCCGCGACGCCGCGACCCGCGCGCACCATCCACCGACGACGGCGAGCGCACGCGACAATCATACTGATGACCACGTGCTAGGAACCCCTTCAACGACCGCGTGATTGCTTCTGGATCTGAGGATGGAAAGGTCTTCCTCTGGCAGGTTCCCGAGAACTTCACCCTCTACACCGATGCCGACGAGCCCGCCGATGTCTCCCCCGTCAGCAAGCTCGCTGGCCACTCGAGGTTCGTTGCCCGTGACCTCCTCTTCTCCCACTCCACTTTCTCGGCCATGATGCTGATATGTAACATACAGAAAGGTCGGCCAGGTCCAGTTCAACCCCGCTGCGGAAAACATTCTCGCGTCCGCATCCGGCGACTTTACGATCAAGCTCTGGGACATCACCACCGGCTCGCCCACCCACACCCTGAAGCACAACGACATCGTCCAGAGTCTGTCGTGGAACGCCAGCGGCTCCATGTTGGTCACGACATCTCGCGACAAGAAGATCCGCGTATGGGATGTGCGCGCCGAGAAGCCGGTCCACGAGGCCCCTGGCCACCCGGGCGCCAAGAACAGCAGAGCTGTCTGGATGGGCGAGCACAACCGTTTCGCCACGGCTGGTTTCTCGCGCATGAGCGAGCGTCAGCTTGCGCTGTGGGAGCCTGGCCGCAGTGAGCCGATTGGAGGTTTCAGCATGCTTGACTCCATCTCTGGTGTCATCATGCCTTTCTGGGGTCAGTGTTGGAGGTCCATCCTTCGTAAGGGATAGTTGCTAAACTACGGACAGATGACGGATCCAACTGCTTGTATCTTGCTGGCAAGGGGTAAGTAGTTCATTGAGCAGAGTATAGTCCTTGGCGTACTGACAGTTCTGACAGCGACGGCAACATCCGATACTACGAGTACGAGAACGACAAGTTCGAATACCTGAGCGAGTACAAGTCCGCCGAGCCCCAAAGAGGCATTGCTTTCGTTCCCCGTCGTGGCATTAACGTAGGTCGACTTCAGCGCGCGCGTGGTGGAATATCTAGAGAGCCATATCTAACGCCGCGTAGGTGCACGAGAACGAGGTCATGAGAGCCTACAAGACGGTCAACGATAGCTACATCGAGCCCATCTCTTTCACCGTCCCCCGTAGAGCCGAAACCTTCCAGTCCGATATCTTCCCCCCTGCTACTGGCCTCAAGCCTGCCGTCAGCGCCAAGGATTGGCTCGATGGCAAGACTGGCATTCCCTCCAAGATCGACTTGGAGAGTGTGTACGAGGGTACCGCCCCGAAGGAGGTTGCCTCTGACTACAAGCCTCCCGTGATCGCCTCGGCTCCTCCTCCAGCTGCAAAGCCTGCGCCAAAGCCCGCCCCCGCTCCGGAGCCTACTCCGGTGGCACGCTCACCCCCTCCCTCAATGAAGGAGCAGCAGGCCTCCATGTCCAACATGGCCAACAAGTTCAAGGATGACGAGCCTGCTGAGCCTGAGGATGAGGATGACGACTCAAGCTTTGAGGAGGTACAAAGACCAGCTCAGCGCGCCGCGGCCCCTGCTGCAGCTCCTGCTCCTGTCTGTGCCGAGCCGGCTAAGATTCCCTCGCCTATCAAGGCCGCCTCCCCTGCTCAAGTCAAGTCGCCTCCCGCACAACAGTCCCCTGTCAAGCCCGCATCTGCCAACTCACCTGCATCCTCGACGCACATTGAGTCATCTCTGGATCAGATCAGACAGATGCTCGAGCAGCAGACCAAGCTCATTGGCAAGCAGAACGACAAGATTAGCAAGTTGTCGGACGAAGTCGAGGGGCTGAAGCGCAAGGTGAACGCTGGCGGGTCTCAGGATCAGAGCGAGAGGATCAGACAATTGGAGCTGGAACTTGAGGCCGCGCGGTCTTAGGGAATCTCCTCTGATATTTTTGTGTGACCTACAGCGTGTAAAAGAAATGGGGTCTAAGGGGGAGTGTGCATCTGGAGAAGGGAGAGATGTGATGAAAACTGGGTCTTTGGGATGGATAGCAAGCAGTGATTGTCACAAGCAGAGTTAGTTTGGTGTTATAAGTACCTATCTTGTTCTCTTTCCCCTCAGGTCGTTTCTTTGGTGCATGCTGTGTGAGCGCATGGCTGGCGGTGATGCGTCAACCTATGAACCACGTAGCCCACTTGTAAGTTTAGTTGGTATCTAGGTTACCAGCGTGTTCATGGAGGTGGTGAACGATAGGAAGGCTCTGATACATGTCAGTCCGCCCAGGTGATGGTTTCATCTGGTCCATTGGATGTGGGCTGTTCTTGGCACTTTGAGGGACTAGAAGATAGTTTCCTGTCGCAAGACGTGTCAGATCCAAGGAAACTTTCTTTTTCTTTCTCCTTGGAAACAGATCAACCTGCTGTGCGCATGTGTCTGGGGGATTCTCTTCATCTCATGTTGTTGTTTAGCTGTGGGAGGTGAACTCTGATGCAAGATGCCTAGTCGACATGTCTAGTTGTGCAGTCATTGTCGCATCCAAGAGATAACACTGGATGGTTGGTGAGCAGGGGGGGGATTTGGGGGCTTTAGCATCCCACCAAGGCTGATGGGAGCTTTGACGTCTTTTGACGTCTTTGAACCCTCCCATCCTCATTGATGTAGTGGAGGCTGCAGCCAATGAGGATGTTCTCCAGCCACAGGTTGGGCGAGGCTGAGAAAGGGGACCTTCTCTCGGACCCGCTGAAATTTTCAAGATTGTCGCGATAAGATAGGTCGTCTGCATACCTACCGTGGAAGTTTCGGTTGCTGAAGGACTTTTTCCCCCCCTAACAATACTGCAACAATCGGAGTACGACAACGAAGCTACGGTCACTGCTTTCTGTCGCAGCAACGAATCGGGGACAATCGTCTCCTCCACTGTACATTCCACATTTCGCTTCCCCGAGCAAGAGCAACGACCGCAAACCTACAAGCTCAAAATCTCGACCTGAGACCGCGAACATGGCCTCGGTTCTCGGAAAGCGCAAGGCGCCCTCTGCGTCGACTGCCAAGACGAGCAAGCCCACTGCGACGGCATCAAGCAAGACTGCTGCACCGGCATTGAGAAAGACGAAGAGCGCCGAGGGCCTCAAGAAATCATCCGCCACCGCGACAGCGACGAAGAAGAGGACGACGGCCACCAAGATGACGAAGGCGAGAAAGGCTGAGGAAAAGGACGAAGAGGAGGAGGATACATCCATGCTAGACGCGCAAGAGATTTTCAGACGGCATTTTGAGGCGCAGTTCAAACCAATTGAGGAGAAGAGCGCGCCGAAGCGCAAGAAGAGCAAGGCCAAGGCCGAAGAGGAGGAGGAGGAGGAGGACAGCGCGAGCGGAAGTGACGAGGAGGTTGACGAAGGCGAAGAGGACGTATTTGAGGACGAGGGTGCTGACGGCGAGGAGGGGGAGGGGGAGGAGTGGAGTGGTCTCTCTGGCGACGAGGGTAAGTCAACCCGCTGGGCGTAATGTCCAGAAATGCTATGGAGAAGACCATTGACTAACGAGAGACTCAACAGAAGACGACTACGACGAGGACAGCGACATCCCTTACGACGACATCGACGAGAACCCCGTCATCGAGGTCGTAGACCACACCGAATCCAACGCCCCTCCCGTCGTCAGCATGAGCAAGCGCGAACTCAAGGCCTTCATGGTAACTCCCTCCTTCTCGTCCTCACATCTCGATATCTCACTAACCTCCTCCTCCTCCTCATAGTCCTCCAAACCCCCCTCTCAAACAGACCCCTCCCCAACCTCCCTCACAGCAGCACAACCCCCCGACGACCCAGACGACGAAAACGACAAGTCCATGCTCGCAAACGACCTCGCCCTCCAACGCCTCCTCTCCGAATCCCACCTCCTCGCCCGCCACGCCGTCTCCCCCTTCTCCAACCCGTCCAACGCCGCCTCCAAGTCCTTTTCCGAGGGCAAACTCCGCCAGCGCCAGACGGACCTGCGCACGCGGTCCCTCGCCGGCGCGCAGGGGGTGTCCGGCGTCAAATCGATCTTTGTCCAGGAAAAGATGCCGATGGCGATGCGCAAGGGCATCGTCGCCAGCACGGCCAAGCGCGAGGAGAAGCGCAGGAAGACGGCAAGGGAGAACGGAATCGTGTTGGAGAGGGAGGCGCCCAAGAAGGCGACGAAGAAGGAGAGCGGCGGCGGGGGTAGGTTTGGACAGAGGGGCCTTGATGGGCTTGATGTTGGAAGGATGAGGGGCGCTGAGCTGAGGTTGAGCGAGAGGGATGTTCGGAATATCGAGGGCGGCGGCGGCGGCGGCGGGCGCGGTGGTGGACGTGCAGGTCGGGGCGGAAGGGGAGGGAGAGGTGGTGGTGGTGGTGGTAGAGGAGGCCGCGGGAGGAGGTAGACTGATCATCTACCATGCCGCAAGACTCCCGAGCCCTTATATACCTACAGTAATAGGTGCCTCGCGTTCGCAGCGGCTCATAGTCTTTCTCAAGGCAGTAGATCTGAAAGAGACAAGGCTTTACGCAAATTGTTTGTTCTCCGTCCATAATGCTCAAATGCTTACAGGTAACTGGGTCTCAATACATGTCCACTTGCTGGCACGGACAAACCTCCTCATCTCAAGTCCGTCTTAGTCCCCACAACTTGAGAGCATTAGTCACATTCGAGAACACATCACTGGCAAGGAACCGGACTTGGAAAAGTGAATCAACATTCGAGACTCTGCTTGTTGTTTCGTGGCAACCCCTGTCAAGCAATCAAAGGAATGCTCGGCAGTCTTCTCCCCCTGGTATCATCTGGCCTTCTGGCGAGTGTTCTTTTCTCAACTATGCCTCTCCAGCACAAAGGAAAAAGAAACAAACTATATATACATGTGCGAGTCGTTTCTCTTCTTCGCATATCGACCCTAAGCTCATGCATAAAAATCTCCCTTTTCGACGGGTACTTTCAAACGTCGAGATCTTCCCAGTCTCTCCGTACGTACCTCTATGTGTGCGAGTTTCCTTTTTGGTGTCTGAGACCGTCGACCAGACTCGATGCTGAACACATGAAACTGAAAATGAAATAAAAAATTCGCCCGGAGCCAGAGGAGCAATTGTCCAGTCGCTAACGCGTGCCGAAATCCATCTTCTGGATGGATGAAGAAAAAAGAAAAAGCCCCTAACCCATTCCGAACCTTTGTCATAGCCATGCCGCCCTCTAAGTAACACCGTGTCGAAGGAAACGTAACTCCAGTCATAACGAGAGCCGAAGCTCGTGAGGTGTCGTCTCTCACATGATGGCGCTCGCGTTCACTGCCGGTTGGCTGATGGTCATCGGCATGCTGAGCGTCTGCAAGCTGTTGAACGATTGCGCCATGCCGTTCGATGTCGGCGGTGTCGAGCCGTTGGCAACACCGTTGAGCGAAGCGGTGACGTAGGCGTTCTCGGAGTTGGGCGATGCCTCCTCGAGGGAACCCAGCTGGTCCTCGCCAGAGTACTCTTCCTCCTCCTCGCCGGAGAAGTTGAGAGCAGCCTCGCCGTTCTCACCACGGTCATGAGTACGCTTGTGTCTGTTGAAACATCAAAGTCAGTCCATGCTATGCGACGAGGTGGGTTCCCCCCTAAAACTTGGTGGCTGCGTAGTGATGATGATGAAGTCTGTGTTGTGGCGCGGCGGTTTGGACGTTGGTTTTCATCGCTTGGGGTCTCGCTCCACATTACATCTTTCTTGACAAAGGAAATGACAAAGGAAATGAGATGAAGGAAAGTTGGGGCATACTGTGCTAGGTTGTCTGATCTGGAGAATGCCTTGCTACAATAAGGGCAGATGTAGGGTCTTTCTTGTGTATGTGTTCTCACGTGTCTGGAGGTTTGGTCAGATTTCAGGCAGGTCGTTTTTTTTTGGTTGATCACAAATAGAATCGAGTCTGGTTCTTACCTCTTGAGGTGCTCTAATCTCTTGAAGAGACGACCACACGTGGGAATAGGGCAGGAGTGGGACTTCTGGGGGTAGGGACCAAGTTCCATGACAGTCGCGGAGCGGGCTCTGCGAACGACACCGTTGGGGCCCTGCATGCCAGGCCGGGGAGCGCCGTTCATAGAACCATCACCGGACATATCATCGTGTTGGAGGTGGGAGTAGTCTTGCTGCTGGAGGGACATGGGGTTGAGAGCGGGGCTGCCCTCGACAGTGGACAGCGGAGTGCCGTGCCGGGACAGGTCCAGCATCTCCTTGTGCTGCTGGCTTACCATGGACATGGCGGAGCTGCTGTAGGCAAGGCCGGGCGGGGAGTTGTCTGCAGATTCGTCGCCTTCAGCCACAGGACCGACGGATGCAGAGACCGACCGCCGGAGATCCGAGGGTCTGTGCTGCTGTTGGTGTTGTTGGTGCTGCTGTTGCTGAGCGGCAGCCTGTGCCTGCGCTTGGGCAGTGGCAGCGGCAATGGCTGACATTGACGGCGGGATGGATGAACGCCGTCTCCTCTGCTTGTAGGTGGGGGATCCTTCAATGACGGAGTAGACGTTGTTTGAACCATAGGCTCTCGAGAACTGAGGGCCGGCGAGGTTGGAGGGGGGAAGCTGGATCATGCCGTTGAGACCGTTGACGTTGCCGCCCATGTGGTCGGGGATGGCGGTGTACAGGCCGGTCTCCTCGTTGGCGATGTAGGCGGGCTCGGCGGCCATGCCCAAGGCCTGCTGGGGAGGTGTAATGGGCTCGAAGGAGATTCCGCGGTTGCTGTAGTCCTCGTACTGAGAAGAGACGAATGACGGGGCGGGAGAGTACTCGAGGCCGTAGGCGGGCATCGAAGCGTGTCTCTGGTGACCCTGGGTGATGGGAACACCGTTCTGGTTGTACTGGACGCGAGCGAAATCGGGTTCCCTCTTGACCATCTGCTGGGGAGGCATCTGCTGAGGCATGCCCATCGCTCCGTAGGGCACCATTGACTCCATGCCATCCTGCATAGGAGCAACTGATTGAGGAATCATTTGCGGGGGCGGCATGTTGTCCATGGGTCTCATGATCGGCGAGGTGGATTGGGACTGAGAGAAGGTGACCTGCTGGGCGTTGAAAGACGAGGAGTTGGCCTGCTGGGCCTTGGTGAGCTGCTCATAGAGCGACTGGGACGAGTCGTACTGGAATGACAGAGCAGGCTCGCTAACGGCGACGGTGGTGGCCTCCTGCCCCATCTTCTCGCGCTTCAGATCACGCTCGAGAGCGTCGAGGAAGAGTCTGTCGTGGGGTACGCTGTACCAGTAGAAGACCTTCTGCTTCTTTTGTGTGCGAATGCAGTTGTTCTTGTAGAGGAAGTCGAGGAAGGGGCTCTTGGGCTCCTCGAGCGATGCATCGGTTCCCGACTTCAGGTTTCTCAAGTCGGAGAAGATGCCCTCCTCGAACTTCTTAGAGTTCTTCACTGGCCGGCCGAAAGCCTGAAATCTGAAGGACAGGCATCTGACGATGTCGGTTCCGGAGATGTGGAAGAGGTTGTTCCAGAGAACGCAAGAGACGTACTCGCCCGTGGGAAGGAGAAATCTGCGGATGTACTGATCGGGTTGCCAATCAACAGGAGCAGAAATGAGGAAGTATTTCACTGGGAGACGAGTCAATTGAGATCTTTGAGAATTACCGATTCAATTTCGACTTACGGTTGTCAACCTGTTGCAAAGCGACCTGGGCGTCGTGAGGCAACGCCTGCTGGGCCTCGGTGCTCAGCATGAAGGTCTCTGGCTTTTGGGGGGCCATGCCCGCGGCGGCATGTTGTGAGTACATGCTGTCAAATTCGTTGTGATGGGGGTTGACGACGGGTGTCGGTCGCGTCTGACCGGTTCGAGAGCGAGGTCGCGCGGGTGATTCGCCTAGGCAGGATTGCGGAGGTGACGAAGAGTCAAAGAAATGGTGTGTTCGTTTGCGAGACGGAGATCCGCAAAGCTGATTGAAGGCGCTGCCCTGGTTGGATGAGCCCGGTAATGGGATCGTTGCTAGTTTTCTTTTTGATTGATTTTTTGAGACTTAAATCGAGTCCAGCCCGGGAGGAAATAACGTTTTGTGTTGGCACAACTGTAGACCACAGGACCCAAACTCGACCTCAAGCGAATGATGGGTGATTTCGGCTACGCAGATCAAGACCGTCAAGGTGCTGATATTGTTGATGATGGGTGATTTGGTGTTAATCGGCGCCTTCGGTCTCGGAGTGGAACCTTGGGGTCGAATGAATTAGGGGTCGTTGGTGGAAGACGGTGCGTCAATGGCAAAACAAGAAGGTAGAAAAAGCTCGACGAAGGGACCCTGCGCAGGAACTGGAACTGGTTGGCGACTAGACGTGCTTGGTGCTTGCTGGCGCGATGCGATTCGCGATGATGGACAAGCGTGCGACGGGCAATGTCTGAAGTGTCGATGGGCGGGATGATGTGCCTCGGGGGTGGTCAGTCCTGATGAGATGGCAAGAGAAACGGGGGGTGGGAGGTATGTGCGGCTCCGACGAGGAGAGAAGGGGAAGAAGGAGGAGGGAAGTAGAGGGAGAGAATGGAAAAGAGAGATGGGAAGAAAAGAAGAGTCTTGTAAAAAAGAGATATCAGAAGAGTTTGGGAATGGGAGGATGGTCTGGGGGTTTAATGATTTTGGACGGGGTGAGAAAGGGAGAAGGAAGAGAGAAGGTCAGGTCCCCAGCAGGCCAAGGTCAAGCGAAGTGGTTCTTGGGTACGGAGTATGCTGGGTGCTGGGTGCTGGTGCGTGTGGTGGTGCGTGGTGTACGTGGTGTGCGTGGTGCGCGGTACCTTGGGCCTGGGGGGGAGGGGGGCATGGAAAGGAGGAGCAAGGTAGGTAGGAAGGAGGAGGAAGACGAGGAGGAAGTGGGTGAGAAGGTCTGGTCTGGTCTGGTCTGGGTCTGGCGCGGGATTGGACTTTTGGGGCCCTTGCCTTGGGTTTGGGTAGGTAGGTACCTTGGAGAAGGTACTTGGGAGTGGGAGTAAAGAGAGCGGCGGCAGCGGCAGTAGGTAGGTACCTGCACTAGGTACTAAGGTATGGTAGCAGCGCGCGTGGGCGTCGGGTAGGCGTGCGGCGGATGGGAGTGAACCAAATGGTGGCAGCCGATGAGTAGAAGGAAGGCCAAGGGGGGGCAAGAGGACGAGGAGGAGAGACTGAGAGCGCAGAAGGACCCGACTTACTTGGTACAGAGTGACTGAGTTGACTGACTGGTGACTGGACCGTCGAGCGGGTTCAGGGTGAGCAGAGCAGAGCGAAAGGAGGGCAGAGAGAGAGCAAAGACGCAGCCGGGTGGACGAGGGGGGAGGGTGTTTAAGAAAAAAAGGAAGGGGGAGGGGGGTGTGAAAGTTGGGTGGAGAGGGGAGAGAGAAGTCAAGGAGGAGGGAGGACGAGCGAGGAAGCAGGGCCCGGTACCTTGCTGCGGTACCTGGACCGGCG